TAGGACTTAGCATTTTCTAATGTTTATTGTATTTAATTTTGGAAAAATTTAGCAGAGTATATTGATTAGTAGAGAGGGAGAGTGTGTTGGTGGAGGGAGAGACAAGGGCACGTTTAGATAAGTTTTTCTCATAAATATTTTTAGGAAAGGAAAGTAAAATGAAAAGTGAAATTATTTTTTATAAGTAATAATTAAAATTAACTTATACATAAGTTAAAAATATGTTTTGTAAAAATTTTAGAGAATTTATCTAAATTTATTTATGCATAAATTAATTTTAATTTTTAAAAAAGTTTGTTTTAACTTTTTCTTCTTAATATATTCTTTACAATTGTTTATGAAAAAGTTTTTTAAACAAGAGCACATCAACATTCATTACAAAAATGGTGTGGGTGACCAGTAAGACGGCATAAACCATTTTCAATTTTAGGGTCATTTTCTTTGTGTTTTAAGAAGAAATTCGTTTAAAATAAAATAAAAAGATAAGATAATGAAACTTGTTAATAAACTCTAGGACTTCTTTCAGTTCTTTGCAATATTAAAACTGGTGTCATTATCTGATATAGTAAGTAAAGACAATTGTTCACATGTGATTGGACAACGTCAAAGGAAATATTAAAACAATTTACTTAAAACATATAACAAAGGAAAAATCATTATAATTTTCTTACTTTAGTTTCAAAATCGAGTTTATAATAGGAGTGAATCACAATTTTGTTACTTGGAAGTGTGAAGTTTTGATAAGTTAGTCCTGAGAATTGAAAGTGTAAATTTGAAAGTGATCGCGTAATTACGTGACTTTTACAAAATTTTATATTTAAGATTTAATTTTAATAATTATTTTAGGTGTTCAATAAAATTAAAGTTTTCACTCATTATTAGTGCATTTATTGTATTTGATAGTTTAAATTTTATAAATTTGATTTAAACAGATGTTATAAAATATGATTGTTTTTGTTTTAATTCTTCCAATTTTAGATGCTTTTCATTTTAATTATCTTAATTTTAATTGTTTTTATTTTCGTTCCTCAACTTTTAGTTATTTTCATTTTTAGTCTTCTCAAAATTTAGTCCTATAATTTCTTGACTTGTTTTTTTATTTTAGTTCCTATAATTTTTTGTTTTTCTCAATTATATTTGAGGACTAATCAAACGATAATAGCCAAAATGAAAAAGAATATATATATATATATGTATATATATATATATATAATATATATATGTGGACTAAATTAAAAAATAATAATAAAAAGTACTAAAAAGCAAAAACTCTTTATTTTATAAGAATGAAATAAACTCTTTAAGCCAAAAGAATAACAAAAACACAAATTCAAAAAATATACGTATTATTAATTTTTCATTTTAGTATTGAATGTTTCATTGTAGTTTCATTATGGTCCTTCAATGTTCCTATTTGAATTTTCTTTAAGTATCTATTTTAGTTTCTAAATTTTTATTTTGGTCTTATTGACGTGGATACAAGAAAAAGAAAAATCAGTAAAAACTTTGCATTTTGATCCTCAAAGTATGAAAATTAAAAATTAAAAAGAAAAAAAAAAGTCCACAAAAGTGTAAAATGTTACTTATTTTAATTAAAAAAAGTGTGAATTACATGATAATATTAACATATGTTTAGATATTAAAATGAAAACAAGTAATTGAGTTTAGAAACTATAACTTTCAAGGTATTTTATATTTTCTTAATTTCAAGAATTAAAGTACTCATTAATCCAAATGGTATCATTTTGATTTCTGAAAGTTTTATTGTAATCTCTAATGTCACCTGTGAGCCAACATTATAAGGCATTTAGTATATGTTTGTTTTATTGGTAACACATTTCTAAGTAACTAAATAAAAAAAAAAAATACGTGAAAGGAAGCTTTCAAATTCATTTCCGTTTGACCTCTTCAAACTTAAATCTAAAGACACTCTTATCATTTAACTTCATCATTCCTTAACATCGCTAATGTAATATCCACTAACTTAGTCGATAGAATGCATATCAGGAACTAATTTACAATTTTGATTAGGATTAACTAGTTAATGCTCAGAATTTCATGCACCAAAATGATCAAGACCTCCGAAAGGAAGAATGAAGCATGGAATAGAGACACGTGGAGCAAGCATTGCAAAAGACTGGTGACTGAAAAGGGAATAAAGTATACATACGTTCAGTGTCAGTGAAAGCCATTTTAATTAACAGAAATTTTTCTGCTAATTTATAGCTCATGACTTTTGTGACATGTCGATCTCACGTTAACTTCAAATATCTAGCTATCAATACCTAAATCGATAATTAAAAAGTAAAACACCAAATTCGTAAGGAAAGAAGAAGAGGGTATTAGAGATATAGGATAAAAATGTGTACATAAATGACAACAAGTACAGAACGAGAAATACGGTTGATTCCTTCTCCGATTCCTTCTTTATATGGCCTTGAGATTTCTTTGTTAGTTAGCTCATGCAAATGGACAATGTATAACATTCGGTTGAGAAGGCTAAGCTTCTAGAATCAGTCCCTATAAAAAGCTCGTGAGAGAAGCTAAAAAACTTGCATGTTTCAACATCATGGCAGTGATAGAAGAAAAAGGCCCTGCAAATGGGAACCAAGATTACACTCAAGATGGGACAGTGGACCTTAAAGGTAGACCCGTTTTGAGATCAAAAACGGGAAAATGGAAAGCATGTTCCTTCATAGTAGGTAAATGAAGCCTTCACTGGCCTTACCCTTCCTCTCTTTTGTTTTCCTTCTTATTTTTAACGTACAGTATAATAAATTGTTATTGTCAGTTATGAATATGGATATGCATGTGTTTATGACTTATAGGGTATGAAGTTTTTGAGAGGATGGCTTTCTACGGGATAGCATCAAACCTAGTTATATATCTAACAAATAAGCTCCATGAGGGTACTGTGACATCCTCGAACAACGTTAGCAACTGGGTTGGTGCAGTGTGGATGATGCCACTGGCAGGAGCTTACATAGCCGATGCCTATCTTGGACGATATTGGACCTTTGTAATTTCATCATGCATTTATGTTTTGGTATGAAATGATTTTTTTTTTTTCACCATTTGTGTGTTACTTGATAACAATCTTGGATAAAGGTTGTGGTTTTTATAAATATTGTTCAATTATATTCAGGCTTAACTAAATTGCTACTTGTTTTCTTCTGCTATAGGGAATGTGTCTGTTGACTCTAGCAGTTTCACTGCAAGCACTGAGGCCACCACCATGTGTTGATGATCTCAATTGCCCGCGAGCATCGTCACTACAATATGGTATTTTCTTCTTGGCGCTTTATATCATTGCAATAGGCACAGGGGGGACCAAACCCAACATTTCCACCATGGGAGCTGATCAATTTGATGAGTTTGAGCCCAAAGAGAGATCACATAAGCTTTCATTTTTCAATTGGTGGTTTTTTAGTATATATTTTGGTACCCTTTTCGCCAACACTGTCTTGATTTACATACAAGACAAAGTCGGTTGGACTATTGGGTATGCCCTTCCCACCCTTGGCCTTGCTGTTTCAGTATTGGTGTTTTTGGTAGGAACACCATATTATAGGCACAAATTGCCCTCTGGTAGCCCATTAACAAGGATGCTTCAGGTCTTTGTTGCTGCTACAAGGAAGTGGAAGCTACATGTCCCAGAGGATCCAAAAGAGCTACATGAGCTGAGCATTGAAGAGTATGCGAGAAATGGGAGAAACCGAATTGATCAGAGCTCTTCATTGAGGTTGAACCCATTTACCTTTTTCCCTTTTTCAAAATCGATGATCTCTTTAATACTCTCTTCTAACATGTTCTTTATCAAAAATCACAAATATTATGAGGCTAGCATCTTATTTAAAGAGTATGAACAAGAGAGTATCAGATAGTGTTATTACATTTCTCTTTAATATATTAGTCTTTCCATCTACATGAATCATTTGCACACTTCTCCCCATTCTCTTCTTGCAGTTTCCTTGACAAAGCTGCTATAAAGACAGCCCAAACATCACCATGGAAGCTTTGTACAGTGACTCAAGTAGAGGAAACCAAGCAAATGGCAAAACTGATTCCTATTTTGCTTACAACGATTACTCCAAGCACCATGGCAGTTCAAGCGGGCACACTCTTTATCAAACAAGGCACCACGCTAGACAGGAGCATGGGACCCCATTTTAAAATCCCCTCAGCAGGGCTTGCAGCATTTGTAACCATCTTCATGCTCATAACCATTGTTGTCTACGACCGTCTTTTTGTTCCTGCAATACGCCGCTACACAAAGAACCCGAGAGGAATCACGATGCTGCAGAGATTTGGCATTGGACTTGTGTTACATGTCATCATAATGATAACTGCAGTCTTAGCTGAAAGAAGGAGACTCAGTGTTGCAAGAGAGAACCACCTTTTTGGCCCACATGATACAATTCCTCTAACTATTTTCATCCTTCTCCCTCAGTATGCTTTGGCAGGGGTTGCTGATAACTTTGTGGAAGTTGCCAAGATGGAGATATTCTATGATCAGGCACCAGATGGCATGAAAAGTCTAGGAACATCATATTTCACAACTAGCATGGGTGTTGGAAGTTTCCTCAGTAGTATTATTTTGTCAACTGTTGCGGATATCACCAAGAGAAATGGTCACAAGGGTTGGATTTTGGATAATCTAAACGTCTCCCGTTTAGATTATTATTATGCATTCATGGCCGTACTAAGCTTTCTCAACTTCCTCTGCTTTTTGGTTGCTTCCAAGTTGTTTGTCTATAATGTTAATGATGTAAAACAAAACAGATCGAGCTTGGAGATTAACCATGTTTCATCACAGTCACAGAACAATACTGGTGTAAGCAGAAGCACACTGCAACCAGATGGCAAATCCTAGGAAAACACCTCATATTCTTATCCGATTAGCCTTTTTAGGAATATATAGTGTGCTTTTGATGTAGATGTATCCTACTGGGATGCTTTCTTAGCCTAGTCCTTGCCTTGCTACTTAAGATCTTGGTTAAAGTGAAAAATAGTGTATTTTGCTTGTTTAAGAACATAAACGAAATCATGGGCAGTTTTCTTGCAACTGTGCTGAGAAAATTTCCAATTTCAAATTTTCCACCCATGTATTTTCTTGCATGCAAATATTGAGAAAATGTAGTTTTTTATCGGTTACTTATAAGTACATCTAAAAAACCTTCAACCAGTGTGCAGCATTTTATAAGTACTTATTGCCCCAAAGTGTCTTCCCCATACAACTCTGGAGGGGTTAACAAAAAGGTTCTTCTTGGTGTTATCATACCAGTTTCTTGCTTATTTATTGGGATGATTGGTGTTGGAATCCTATTATGCCACCGGCACACAAAAAGAAGCCTTGATGAAGAGTCCAAAAGCATTGAAAAAGTGATCGGTCTATGTTGAGAATCTGAATCAGCATCTATTATTTGAGTTTATTGCCAAGAACTTTGTCTGAGTATTGTTTGATTGTCTTAGTCTCCTTCATTCTTTGTATTTCAAATTCTCTCATTAAGTTTAATACTTGCATGCTTCAAATCCTTTCATCTCCAGTATATTCTTCCTTTAGATAATCCCAAATTGCTTTTGCCGATTTGAGAGTCATAATCCTGGTGAAAACATTTTGTGAAACACAGGCAAAGAGACAACTTTTTGTCTTTGCCTTCTTGATTTTCTTTTCTTTATGAATTTTTATTTGGGTTACGATAGGATTGTCTGGCAACACGAAAACATCATAATCTTCTTCTACGGCTTCCAAGAGATCTAAACTTTCTAGGTATGCCTCCATTCTCACCGCCCAAAGATCATAACTTTATCCATCAAAAATAGGTGGGGAGATTTGTGAAAAGTTTGTTTCTGCTTTCATCTCCAAGATCGTAACCTTAGCTCTGATATCAACGATGAGGTTATCTTATGATATTTGTCTGAGGGGATATTTTATAAGAGTTATTTTTTATCAGAAGAACACAATCTAATTTTATTCATGAGTCTCTATTTATAGAAAAAATTTGTTATACAAAATTAAATATTAATATTATTCTATTCTAAAAATAAGGAAACAAATCATAAAATAATCAAAACAGATTAAATCTAAATATTTGAAATATAAATAAAATATTCTTATCAAAATCTAATTTATTCTTCTAAAGATATTTAGGCATATTCCCAACACAAAACTATTAAGCTTTTTGTTGTGTTAAAATTTTCTGATCAAGGAAACTAGAGAGGAAGGAAGAGTTGTCGTCTCGAGTATTATCTCGTTCATGTTACTAAATGGCAACTGTATCTCTTACTGGAAAGGGGATTCTTGTGCGTAGCTTATATGGAAACTGTAAAGCTTTCTGTCTCCTAAGGTCATTTTGTTGGTCAGATTATACACGCACAAATTTTTTAAAGTAAAGAAATTATTGAATTGAAAAATAAATGGTATATTTAATGTCTTGAATGCTTTTTTTGAAATTATTCTTAGGAGAAATGAAGAACCGTTGGGAATTAAATTGACGGATGTAACCTGACACTGAAAACAACGAGTATAATATTTTTGTTGCATTATTAGTTAGTGTTTTCTTAGGACCCACAAGAAGGCTGGATACAGATGGAGATGCAGGTCTAGACAGACTTGAATGAAAGAATCATCACTCGCTCGCTCATGTAATCCATAAGGTCTGACGCCTATCTCTCTTAATTGCAAATGCCATTTTTTAAATTAAAACTTGATCACAAAAATGTAAAGTTATTAATCTAACTCTTTTTCCTTTTAAAGCACCTAATAAGAATAAACTCAACAAAGTCAATCTCTAACTCAAGTCTCTTGAACAAAAGCAATGCTATTCATGTCAAAACCACATTTTACCCATGAAACTTATTTACGAGCAATTAGGAAGAGAAATTATTATTTAGGTAAATGATAATGCAACAATTACTTCGTGCTGCAATGTACATTTATCCAAAAGTTGTCTCAACGATCAATTATAGTACGACGAATGCAATGATATATCCTTTTTCAAAATTTATTTATAAACTCTATGATCAACTACTAATAGGGTTTTTTTAGGTAAATGATATAATTATGTGCTTATTAAATAAATATTTAGCACATAAATATTTATGTACATGTTGTTTCTATAATTGAAGAGGAATAAGATTAAAATATTTTCATATAATTATAAGTTGTTTTTATACGTTATTGCGAAAAGTTTCTTAAAAACAACTTATAGACATATCATTTCATAAGTTTTCACAAATACTTACATAAATACTTATGTCTTAAGATAAGATCAAATAAACTGCAAATAAATTTTTCTACATTATCCATAAGACAATAAAAAATGTAGTAGTGGTTTCTTAAACTTTTTTTTTTTTAATTTAAAAAATAAGTTGACATATCTGCCAAGGATTCTTATGATTTGTCGCTTCCAAGAGATCTAAACTTTCTAGGTATGCCTCCATTCTCACCGCCCAAAGATCATAACTTTATCCATCAAAAATAGGTGGGGAGATTTGTGAAAAGTTTGTTTCTGCTCTATTAGCATGGTGTGGGGAAGAGATGGAAAATTTACATTTTCTGATCTTGTGAAGGCCACCGATGACTTTAATGACAAGTACTGCATTGTGTGGGCTACAAGGCTTAAAATTGTGCAGGGAATAGCACATGCAATTTCATACTTGCAAACTGACTGCTCCCCACCGATTGTGCACCGGGATATTACATTGAATAGAATACTACTTGACAACCTCGCCTTGCAGATTTTGGCAAAGCAAAGCTGCTACTCTCCAACACTTCTACCTGGACCTCAGTTGCTGGATTCTATGGCGACATGGCTCCAGGTACATGATCCAACCAATTTAAATTCTAGGGTATATACTATATATCATGCTAAGGTAGCAATAAACATGAGAAAATAGGTCGAGTATAAATCAATTTTACACTTCAATCACAAATCATATATTGTAAGTTTATTAACTTCTGTAATAACTAAGTTATATCAACAATGATTTAGTTGATAGTGTAAAAGTTTTACAATAGCACTACATGATCATTAATGTATTAAATGATTTATATTTAGATACAACAAATATTTTCTTTCTTAATACAAGTCTTTTTATTTCGTTTCTTTAACATACTCGTGTCATATACAGTGTCTTAGAGTTGCATTCAGCACATAGATATATATTGTAGTGACTAACAAAATATGAAATATGCATTGCTAGCACAAACTATGAGGGTGACTGACAAGTCTGACGTGTTTAGTTTTGGAGTGGTGGTGTTGGAGATAATGATGGGAATGAGAACTATTGACTAGGCTGCATGCAAACAAGTATTTGTCATCAATGGGAGAAGCAGATGTGCTACTGAAGAATGTGTTTGACCAACGCCTTCCATCTCCAACGGGCCAATTAGCAGAACTGCAGAAGCAGTAGTGTTCACAGTGACCATAGTAGTGGCATGCACACGTGTGGTTCCAGAGTCCAAATCCATGATGCGTTCTGTGGGACAAGAACTGTCGGTCACTATGCAGGCTTATCTTGCCGAGCCTTCTGGCATGATAACCATAAGCAAGCTTACAGGGTTCCTCAAATAGTATCATGCTGGACTGTGTCATAACTTGTTGTAGAATTATGTTTTCTTTTCTTTTTCTTGCACACAAATACGTATACTCGGTTACAAAATTATATTTGAAGTTGAAATTTAATATTACAATAAAGGATATGTTTGAGCTTACAGGACTCCTCAAATGGTGTCATGCCGGACTGTGTCATTAACTGGTAGAAATGTTTTGTTTTCTTTTTCTTGCACACAAATACGTATACTCGGTTTTAAAATTATATTGAAGTTGAAATTTAATACTATAATAAAGGATATGTGTGAGCTTACAGGACTCCTCAAATAGTGTCATGCCAGACTGTCATAACTTGTAGAGAGATGTTTTGTTTCCTTTTTCTTGCACACAAATATGTATACTCGGTTGTAAAATTATATTTGAAGTTGAAATTTAATATTACAATAAAGCATATGTTTGATTATTGGAGCTTCTGTGTCTGTTTGAATTAGTCATGCTCCTATACACTAATCTTGCGTGAAGGCGTGAAACAAAAAAACAGAAAAAAGACATTTATTTGTTGCATGGTAGAATTTGCCTTGGCATTTATTTGCGGTATGAGACCCCCTATGACCCATCTGGCCATCTCAAAACTCAGGATCCTGTTAATTTAAAACAACCAAGATAATACATTCCACATCGAGTCATTAAATAACTTTTATATAAACCAAATATACTAACAGCCCGAGCCCCGAGCAAGACAAAAAATTAAACTCAAGCTAATCCTATACACAATTGATCAATTCTTTTGCAGAAAGAACGCCCTATCAAGAGATCGACAAAATATCTGCTACCCCATGCATTTTAGTTTACGAAAGGCTGCAGTTTACATGCAGCAATTGATTCAAGAATCCACGTGTGACCAATGACTTGTAGAGTATTGGCAGCTAAATCCTCTGCCTCGTTTAGCCTTTGCCAAAGAATTGAAACTTCATCCCCCAACTTGCATCCTTGTGGTGGATCCAGGTTGTAAACAATCAGCAGCTTTGAAGAATCCACTTCACATTTATGTCTTTGTGCTTCCAGTTCTTCCTTGCTTCTCAAAACAGTACCTCCCCCCACTTCAATTAAATCTTCAAGATCTTCCTTATAAGCTGGCACATAATCCCCAGAAAAATAAAACTTCAAATCGCTGAATAGCTTTGGCTCCTGCTCCCACAACAGTTGGAATATTAGAACATTACAAATGAATATCATCGCATATAAGAAACCTCCAAAAGACAAGAAATAAAAATGTTAAAGTCAACAAGTCACTACAGAGCTTAACATAACACAGCCTTAAAATTCATCTAGATGCTTCAGTTGCTTAACAAGGAAAATAAGAGGCATTCAAAAGTTATTTGATATTATAATTTTTGATGGTGCAAGCAACAACCCATGCATTTACATGAATATATGAATCAAGACAGAATATTTACATTGGCCAATGCCCGAAGTCTGCCAGATTTTGGACCACCTTGACACCCTTGGTTGTCAAGATTAATTTCAAATGGTTCTTCCTCTACAGGATTTATCTCTTCTATGCATACTTTTATCCCTACAGTACAAAATGTTTAGAATCAGCATGAATTCAAAAATAAGAATAAGCATTAAAAAAATATACAGAATGCATAACAATCACACGTGAAAAGCATGTAAGATATAACTCAGTCATAAACAGTTAAAAATGGATTAATGAGGAAAAAATCATTACTGTGCCAGAGTATAAGTAGAAAATTATATTTCAAGCACCAACATAAATTTCCCATGTTAGCAGACTGATAGCCAGGCTCCTGCACCAGGCCCCCAGCAAGGATCCAAGCCTTAGGATTACCAAACTCGCAAAACCATTATACTAATAATTATTGTAAAGGACGTGTTATAATAGTAAATAGTGACTACCAAGATTTCATGCTAAATTATTGGTACTTCAAGATTCCGAGTTAAAAAATCAATGTCTTAATTAACAAGTTCTTTTAATTTGATCCATAATCTTTACCAAAATGTCAAATATATAATTTAGATAATGACTTTTAACTTCATGGATATAAATGATTTCTAAGGGTAAACTAAAAATATCATATAGAACATAATTGACTTTGGTCTCATTTCCTCCAAAATGAAAGCCATCTTCCAAACCAGAACCCTAAAATTCAAACCCATTAGGTGACTCAACATTGAACAGAGAACTTGAACAACTTACAATCCACTTTTAGAACCCATCGTCCATTTAGAATTGCCATGAGAACTTTTAATGTCCTAGAGCATGCTCCATTTCCATCAGTTGATGCAATTACGTGAGTGACATTTGATGTCCAGAACTTGGTCACAGTAGCACCAATTTTGCTTGCATAATTGATCAAAAGTACCTGCACCATCAAGAAGATACAAAAAAGAAAGGTCAGGAAAATACATCAACTAGGTAAAACATGGTATATGAGGCACAGAATGGTGCACCATGCACTTCATTGTGTGTAAACACAATTTTTCTATATATAAATGAGCAGTTCCATTAAAGTCAGATAGTTCAACTTATCAAAACTCAAGATTAGCATCCATTTTTTATTTTCTTGCAATTAAGAGTTCCCAAAAAGAAAAAAAAGTAAAGATAATGTAGATAGCAAATAAACTTGACCAGAAATGGTTCCATACTAACCTTGTCTTCATTTGATAGAGCAGACCCACAAAAAACCAATTTTTTACTATCATCCTGTGAAGCTTCAAGAGGATTTGAGTGGTGAGATGGCCTGTATAGAGGAGTTAGTTAATAATAGTATCAAACCTTGACAGGAAAATTGCACACTCATAAGAATATTACGACAATCAAAAATGTAGTATGAACAATATTTATTATTCATAGATCTACCTATTAATTTTGAACAATTCTCTGGCTTGGAAATTGAACTACAATATTTATTACCATAATATGTATTGCACTTTAAATCTTTAATTTATGGTTTAATCTACTGGCATTATGTTAAAATTAAATAAGAAACCAATTTGAAATCCGGTAAATTCATCAAAACATTGGAAGAGAAAGCAATGCATGAGATTTTAATAATGCTTAAAGAGCAAATGACAAGGAACAAAACATACAGATGAGGCAGAGTGGGGTGCTTCTGAATTGCCTGCTTCTTAGATCTGGTTTTCTCACATGGAAATTTGACATTTGAATGGACAGGACAGAGCAAGAGAAAATCCTCCTGAAACAGTGAACACCCAACAAAGTTTAGATAAATGGAAGGAAGCACATGTGTCTTTTAAGCAAAATATAAAATAGTAGCTTTAATATGAGAAATAAGTACATTATCCCATCGGCAAGTTGAGATGTCCATTGCACAAGGAACATGATAAGTCCTTCTACAAGATTTGACATAGCAGCCAAGAGCAGCTCCCTTTAGATTACATTTACTGCATTTAAGTTTTGCTCCCCTTGCCACTTCTGCCTTCAAATTTTTAACTACTTCATCAACAAAGTACACCTGGGGTGCCCTGGATTCCAAAAGTTTGTACCACATTTATCAGCAAAATGCAAATAGAAAGCTAAAAGATTGTAAAATGTTCAAATTAGCATACCAGTCAATGCAACTTCTATGCACAGGTATGACATTTGATTGCATTGCTGCATCTCCTGTAACTAAGTTCCCATTTGCATAATGCAGCATTGGCCCAGTAGCCTACAAAAATCCACCATGAAGACCATAAAAATAGTTTCAGCAATTGGTCCAGCAGCATATATAGCATGAGGATAACATAATCGTCAGTAAAAGGGTGGATACACAAGCAGTGATAGTGTGCAGGAAATTGAGGCACATCAAATATTACCTCTGAGATTCTAGAGGACTGGCAGAATGAACAGATACTTCCAGTTGGACATACGTCATTTGAAGCACTTGTGGGCAGTGATGCACCAGGGTCCTTTCCAGATTTAAGGTCCAGAACTTTTTGTCTCTTGAGATCCCTTGCAAGACCCTCTGTTTCAGAGGCTGAACTTTCAGATCTTAACTGTCCCATTCTTCCCTTCAGATTTACATTTCCTGCACTAGCCCTCTTTAATGAAGAATTTTCCAATCTATCAGAAGGTAATGGCTGAAACGAAGAGCATGCGAGAATTAGGAACAAGTTGAAAGAGAATAGAACCTACCGTTGATTTAACTACGTATATACACAAGACCATAAATAAGAGCATGTTTTTCTTACGTGCCCACTATCTTGATCACTGCAGTCATTATCTGAACCTTTAGTATCACAAAAAGGAGGGCTATCCGGTGCTGATTGTGTCACTTGATTCACATCCATCTCCACAACAGCACAATCTCCACGAACCACAAGTTCCATATGGGAAGATTGCATTGGAGCGAGCTTCCCTCTCCCACAAGACAATTCAAGCTCCTCAGCTTTATCATGCACCAGAATCCTGGATTTCTGACTCTTGCCAGCCCCGACCCCACTATAATTAGGCAAATTCCGAGGAAGCTTGGCAGCTTTCATGCTACTAGAAGTTGAATTGAGTAATTCTTGGCACGGCTCCAAAACCCCCGCGTCACCTACATCAACAATGTCAAAAACATCAAGTCAGCATCAATCAATACATAGTCCTTCTCTCCAATCAAAAAGAAAAGCTTCCTAAAAGCAAAGTGACTTCACCAGTAGAGCGTTGCTGAAACAGACTAGCACAGAAGGTGGCATCCAAGCTTCTGTAAATAGCCACCACGTTTTCCACAAAAGGCACGTGCCTTACATCTGCCACACATTTATCACATAGGTAGCATAAGTACATATACCAAAAAAGCATACACATCAAAAATTAAATAAAATAAATCCAGCTTATACTATAAACCATTACACAGAGAAATAAAATAAAACAAACACGACCAATACGCAAAAATGCAGCAACGCATGAAAAGATTAATAAAAGCTTACCTGTTTGAGTATACTTTGCATTACAAACAGCGCATTCAGAACCAGCCGTTATACAATCAGCCAAGCAGGAACTGTCGAACACAAAATAACATCCAGATTTTAAATCACTTTCACGAACGAAAAACTCGCGCAATAAAATAAATAGAGAGAAAAGGAAGTAACGAACTCGCAGAACAAGTGATTGCATGGAAGTAACACCGGCCGCTTGAACAAACTCAAACTGCAAGATCCAGCGCCGCCACAGGCAACAAATCAAATCAACTACTCTAAAATATAAGGCGAAAAACACAAAAGAAAAGAAGAAAATACAATAACACGAGCAGAAATTTAATCGAAAGAAGAAGAAAAAACCGCAAAGGCTAAAATAAAAGCGATTGAGAGAGATTCGAACAGAGTGAAATTCAACGAACCAGAGAGGGCACTTGAGCTCGAGAGCGAGTTTCTGGAAGTGGAGCATCCATGGATTCAGTAGTTTGGTTTTACTAACGGTGGACTTTCCAGAACCATCCATGTTTTCTTCTTTTCGGTTTGCAGAGAGGAGAGGGGGAAGGGTTGTGGAAGAAGAGAGTGTTGGGATTTTAGATTTTAGATTTTATTTGGTTTTTATGCAGAGGCGGTCTTTTCAGAAATGATGCATCTGATGCATACGTGGACGGCTCAGATTTGTTGACTGCGAGCGAGGGCGCGAGCGTGGATTTGATTGGCGCCTCGCAACGATGACGTTTTCGTTTCAAGCGCTCGCGCCACTTTTCTTTCCTTTTCGCTCTATCTTTACTCTTTATTCGTTTTCATTTTCTATTCCCGCTACCTGCTTTTTCATTTTTTCAATTCCAAACGATGCCTTAATTTCTAATTTTTTTAAGTTTTGAGATACATATAAAAAACTATATTATTTTAATAATTGATTATGTGGATTTGATAAGAAACGCATGGGAATAAAACATGATGAAATTAAATGTAAAAAAACAACGATTCCTTCTTACATATGCGAACAATTAAATAATTATTGTTTTCCACGCAATATTCCTTTAAAATGCATAATTGCATATCACTTTTCTAGTGGGAAAATGCAAAACGTTTTCATTGGAAAGATATTTGATAAGTATACAAGTTGTTTTATATCGACACAAATCGTTTCATTCATTTAAAAATAAAAATAAAAACAAAAGTGACAGTTTAGTGAAAAATATTTAATATAAATATTAATGGTATTAACAGATACTTTGTAATATAAAGAGGAAAAACAAAGTAAGTTTACAATGAGATATCGGAAGATTTCTAATGGTTATTTTCAAAGGCTATTTGTAAATAAAAAGTTTGGTAAATAGAGAAAAAAGTTACACACTATAATTCTTACAAGTATGTTTTAACAAAAACTCTTTTGTATATAGTTTGTTTTGTTATTAATTGTTAAATTTGAGTCTTAAATAAGATGAAATATATATGTATTCCTATTTTAATTTTAACTAAGTATTTTAACTTTGAAGTCTATAAATATTTTGTTTATAAGGAATACTTTAATTATTTGAAGCATAGAGAGACTCGGTATTAAATAATTTAAAGAATGTTTATTTGAAGAAAAAAAAATACTTAAGTTGGACTAGTAAAGATTTATATAAAAAATAAGGTTAAATTATGTTTTTATCTTTTATTTTATTTATTAAATTTATTTTAGTTATTTATCTATTGAAGTGTTTATTTTGATCATTTGTCTTTTATATTTAGATTAATTTGGTTATTTTTAAAAACAACAAAAAAACTTTAATTTTGTAACTCGATTTTGAAATAATTTTTGATCAATTTAAGATATAAAACTTATAATAATAGATTCAACTATATAAAAATTTAACGGCCATTCAAATTTATAAGATATAACATAATAAAAATAAACTAAAAAATATGTCTAATAAAAAACTATAAAATAGTATAAAATTATAATTTTTTGAAATTTCAATTGCCTTTTAGACTTGTTTTTATGTAATTTTCATCATGTTTATAATACTTTTTTGTTTGAATTTTAGTTGTATTTAACAGATTTTCACATAAGTGAATCTAATACGATGAATTTTAAATCTTAAATCAGTCAAAAAAATAATTTAAAATTATATTTTAAAATTGAAAAAAATTATTGTTTGAAAATTATCAAATTAGTCCAAAATTAAGAGATGAATGATCATAATAAACATTTTGAAAGATAAAAAATTAAAATGAATATAACAAATAAATAAAGGACTAAAAGTATAATTTAGTCTATAAAAAATTATAACTTTTTAAATTAATAAAACTTAATCAAGTTGATAAAAATAAATATAATCTTAATGGTTGAAATATTATCTAAACAAGTCATTATAAAACTTTTGTGTTCTTGTAATGCCTTTTACTTTTTTTGTCTTCTTGTATTGTTTTTTTTTTTGTGTCTATCATCATTTGTTGTGCTTAGAAAACGTTGAAGATTTTAATGGACATAATTCAATAATTTTTTTTGTTCATATTTTGATTTCACAAAGGTGGTATGTTAGTTAATCCAATATTAACTCAAATTGTATTAAATGGATTCAACTATATTAACATGCTAATTAGATGAATTTGATTCTCATGAGATTTTTTATTTGCACTCCTCCCAACTTAGTTGTAAGCTACACACACGTTTTTAGACAATTGATTTTTGACAAATATATTTTTAACATTTGACATTCTCACAACATAACAATATCGTACTGTGTATCTCAACATGATCCTATTGAGTATGAAATCCAAATACATAATAGAAATTTGTTTTTGTTGTGTAACAAGATGTGTCAATTGATTGTACATAACAAAAATGATCTTTCATTTAGTATTTCAGTTTTCATATATATACATGACAAAAACATATTTTTTTTGTATATACGTGATTAATGAAAACATATTTTTTAATTCAAAAAAATAAGGTAAAAAGAAAATTGGGACTACCAATAATATGTCTCTATTTTTATTTTAATAAACACCCATGGTCAATCCACACAGCAACCCATTAAATAACGACTTCCTCCATCCTTTTAATAACAAAACATTGAAAAACCTTTAAAAGAAACAATATTGAAATTCTTGGAAGTTTATATATATATATATATATATATTGATGGGGTTATTTTATGATATTTGTTTGAGAGGATATTTTATAATAAGACTTATTTTTTATCAGATGAGCATAATATAATTTTATTCATGAGTCTCTATTTATAGAGAAAATTTGTTATACAAAATCAAATATATTTGATATTATCCTATTCTAAAATAAGGAAATAAATCTTAAAATAATCAGAACAGATTAAATCTAAATATTTGAAATATAAATAAAATATTCTTATAATGAGATTGAAAATTCATATCACTTTATATATGTATATCAAATTTTGTTAAAATAAAACAACAACTTGAAGGTAATCAAAGTGCTCATATTTTACAATATTTTAAAATGAATATATTACGTCAATTTTGTTTTATAAGAATGAAGTATCAAATCATCTTGGATTAATATAAAATTTTATATATATGATCTAAGTGACATGGACTTTCAATTTAACGATTGAATTTACAAAATTTGCATTTAATATGAAGTTATTGAGCAGTGAAACACTTAGTAAAAGTTATACCGTTGTGATTTGAACCCTCTTTTATATATATATTTTGTCAATAAATAAATAAAATACTTAACCCACTAAAAAATGTTAACTTGGAATCAAAATATTATTATTTTATCCAATATCAAATACAAATACATATTTACTGTTAGAGCTATTGGAGTATATAACATGTACATCAGTTTGTGCAATTCAACTATTGATTTATTAATTCAATTAACAATCCATTAACTTATTATCTTGATTGTTATCTTGATTGTGTCAATGATCAATTTAACTATGATAACAATGCTTTTAAAATCAAAGACATATGTCAAATTGGGATTTTTGTATTAGAGATAATTGCAAGAATTTTGTGATTCTAAGATACTTAAAGTCTACTACCGTGTTAGTTAAGATGACATTCTTGAATTGTCGATGGTTTTAAGATGATATTTTTATTATATTTTCACTCAGTTATTTTAGAATTAGATTGCAAAGTTGTGGTAAACAAACTTCATCAAAGTTTAGTTCACAACAAACTTCATCAAAGTTACTTTGATTCACAACAAACTTCATCAAAGTTTAGTAAATGCATATGAATAGGGGATTATAACTTAATGTAACATCATTATAGTTATTCATCAAGATTCTAGTATCAACTTTATTAGGAGACAAGCCAATATGTTAACTCATGCTTTGTCAATCACATCCGTTCATTGTACTTCTCTTGGTGTTTTTAAGATACACCACAACATGTTACTTTTTTATTTTATTTTAAATGAAATGCCACAAGTTTATTATAATAAAAAAAACAAAGTCAATCTAATACCTTTTTCATGAATAATAAATTACATTTTTATTGTTTTAAAATAAAACAAACTAATAAGTGAATACAATTTTTTATCGCGTTGTACACAAATATTTAATTTTATTTCTCATTCCTTAAAATTTAGGTTAATTAGTTGGTTTGAGTCATCCTAAACCAACCTATACTAAATTAATAATTTAACAGTTGATTAAGTTAAACCAAAATTATATAGAATAAAAGTTTATTAGCTCAACTCGAAATTTTATATTAAAATAATTATACTAATGGTGGAAATTAGCTCATTTTAACATTCATCTAATAGTTTTACATGACTATTTATTTTGGAAAAAATTTAATTTGATGTATGATTTACTAATATACCAAATGTGTATCTCTTTTTACTTCTCCCAAAGGATATCAATCTTGTTACATATGGGAGATAAATCCTCGTCCTAAGAATTTAGAAATCACAAGTTAACCATAAACCAATACCACAAATAACATAATTCAACATGAAGAATAATTATTCACCATATGATATATCATAATCGAATATCACGGCGACTATAATAAAATATCATATAACATTATGAAATATAGGTGGAATATCATACTATAGATTTGAATATAGCTTTGTATAATGCGATATACCTAACCAAATTTGAATATTCACGCAAAATATTCAAATATCATACAAAATATAAATACTTATACACGCCATATTTAAATATGGTATACAATATTAATGCATGTTATAGAATATAATTGAGCATAATCATATAATTTGTTTTATATTCAAATATAATACGCAATAAAAATACTTTAATAAAGGTCAAGAGAGTAAAAACAAACAAATAGTATAGTAAATAATCACGAATAGTTAAAAGAAACGAAAGATATTAATGCTTTTAAGTTAAATTTTGCTTAAATTGATAATTTTTTAAAGTAATCACTATTCATGTGGGTTCGACGGAAATTTAACTTAAATCCGCATTTTTTCCCCTTTTAGTCTTTGACCAGGTAGGACTATCTTTTTATCATTTTACTCAAATTCACTCTCCTCCTCCCTCTTTCCCTCAAATTCGTT